ATGATCTCCTATATGGGCGGAAAGGATACCACTTTAGGATTCAGTGATTATGATCACCTCAATGGGCGGAAAGGACCCCACTTAAGAATCCAAATAATCTGATGGTCTTAATGGGCGGCAAGGATCTCACTTGAGGATCCAACGAAAGTGATCGCCTATATGGGTGAAAAGAACCCCACTTAATGATCCAACAATTATCATCGCCTCAATGGGCGAAAAGGATCCCACTCAAGGATCTAGCTAATATGATTGCCTCAATGGGCAGTAAGGATCCCACTAGAGGATCCAACGACAGTGATCACCTCTATAGGAGGAAAGGATCCCACTTAAATATCCAACAATTATGATCGCCTCAATGGGAAATCTTCTCTAAAATATTTAAGTTTCATGCAAAGAAAGAGATATCCAAACATATGTTCTCTAACATAATAAAAAGTGAGGCGCCTCATTAAAAACCCCCACCTTGTGTAAAAGCGCAAAGGGAAAAGATTGCTCCCCACGAAATAGCGTGTTCTTTACAATTGGCAGAGATGCAATACTTGCCTATAAAAATTATCAATAAGGTAATCAAACAATACTAAAGAAAACAAACAATAGCTACGTTAATGTCTTCAGAGGATATCTTTCCTGCATATTTATACTTAAGTCTCCTCAAAGGTTGAGGAGGAGGTCTTCTCGCCTTTGTGGAATTCCTCTAGCGGTTTTATTCCCGAACTCATCCTTCTAGCTTTCCCATTATAAGCACAAATTCTCTTCAACCCGGGACTTTCCACATAACACTTCCTGGAGATGTCTTGATCTCCTTAGATAACACACGCTCTTCCATTGGGAAACGGGTACTTCATGTATAAATAGATAGTAAACAAGGTGGCACCCGACCGATTTAAGGCTGGTTACCTTATAATCATATTATATGAAGAGGGGGCATCAATAACCAGATACCTAACCTTTATCTCCTTGGCTTAATCTTCTTATCTAAAAATGATCTTCAAGGTGATATATCTCTTTACCTATACATGTTCTCCATAGAATTCAACTAGAAGTTCTCTGAAGGGTTTTAGGTCTTCTGGGTCGAGGCAAAGGATTTTAAACGCCTCCTAGTATAATATGTCTGCAGAACTCCCTTGGTTAACGAGAACTCTTTTAATTTCCCAGTTTTTACATTTGACAGTATGACCATGGGATTGTCATTAGAATGGTCAAGGCCAACTACATCTTTCTCAGAGAAGGCGATCATGGCTTCTGGAGTTTGATACTTGCCTTCATCCTTGATCTCGGGGAGTTTTTCTACACTTAGGATCTGGTGAGCGTACCATTTCCTAGTAGAGCTAGTTTACCCGCCTTCATCAAATCCTCCTGTTATGGCATTGAGTGTGTGGCGTGCAGTTATGATATCCTTTCCCCGAAGCACCTCTTTTGCTTTGTTAGGCCTGGGGCTTCCAATGACATCTCGCCTACACAAAAGCTAGATTTGTCTAATGAACAGGAGGAGTCTCTCTTCACATATTTCGTGAGATGTCCCTTTTATATTAGTCTTTCAATCTCTTTCTTGAGCTGGTAGCAGTCCTCGGTGTGATACCCCTTGACCCTGTGGAACTTGCACTATTTTTCAGGTTCATAACCCATCACATTTGCCTTAGGCGCAGACGGCATAGAAATGTTGCGCAGGAGGAGTACATCGTATCAGATCTGCTCACAACAAGTGTTTAGAGGCGTGAAGTTTTATGTCGCCTTACCTACCCTTTTGAAAATAGTCTTGTCCTTTATTTGTGAGGTATATTTGCTCATTGATGTTACGTGCCTTATTTTTTGTGTTGCTCTCCTTGTCCTTTATGTAACATTTATCTCTAGTGACCACTTATACCAACGACAATGTTGGCTTCTGGGTAAGGGACTCGTTGAAGTGTCTCGCCTTTAGTTCATTTTTGAACGCCCCTATAAATATTTAGTTTGGTGGACGACCCTAATGGTAGCTTCGTTAAAGAGGATGAGATAGTCCCTTAGTGATTCTGATGGACCCTAAAGTGTGTAAAACAAATTGATCGTGGATATATTTCTAGGGCAACTGATGGCGAATTGGTGCACCAACTTCCTTACCACTTCTTGATAACTATTGATGGAGGCATGAGGTAAAATCATATATCATATGAGGGTGGTGTCCCTGGAAGTGTCAGATAGAAGCTTGCATTTTAGGGAGTCAAGAGCTTCTATGATGGTCATCCGTGTACTGGTGGAGGAAATGTGCTTGTAGAGATCGCTCTGCCCATTAAACATGGCCAGGGAGGGAGGTTTGAAGCCCTCTAGGACAGGTACCACCCATATCTTGTCTAGGAGTGGCTAGGGGTCCAATAGTTCCATATCCTCTAGGGAATTTGAATCATGTCAGTGTTGTCTAATGTTGTGGAAGTCATAATCCAATGTCAGGTTATGGTGGCGTAATGCATCCTTGGTGGAACGCATCTCCGCCAGGGTGTAGGCATCACCACTAATGCTAGTACCTTCCAGCATAGAGGACAGGTGTCTTCTATTAAACATAGCTGAAAGTGGCTAAGTATAAGAGTGAAGGGTAACAGTGGGAAGGTTGAGAATGTTAAAGAGGGTGTTGCCCAGGTTAGTTTTATCACGGCCCGACAATGGGCACCATTATACTGGTAAAAAAGTACATATATGTGTGTCCCCCCTAAAAAGGCATGGAGACTCAGAAGCATTAGTAGGTTTATAACAATTTTAGGTGGTGAGGGCTTACCCATGACAGCGAGAAGACTTGTACGATGATGCTTTACGGTGGTTTTAAGAGTCCTACTCATATGAGGTGAGAGGCTCAGTAGATGAATGAAGTGCTTAGGTATAAGCTTTAGAGGGGTGATATGTGTGCTTTTGAGATGTAATGATATGTATGGTTTGAGATATGTCCTCCTTCCATTGAGGGGAGGAACATTTATAGAGGCCCTTTAGATCTAGGGATTGGATGAACTTGGATGGTGGCAGTCATTCCCCGTAATCAGGAGAAGCTATTGACCACCTATCTTCCAGAAGTAATGGAGGATTTCCTCCCCTTTGAATGACATCCTTATACGTCATCGATATCCTTGGGCGAGTCTTTAAGATATCATCTGGGTGATACAACTCTTTTGGAGAGGGCGCCCAGTTTAGGTCCTTTAAAAATATAACTTTACACATGACAATGATTCACTTATAGTTGAAGATGAAAATGGCACACTTTCATCAGAGGGCAAATTCAAGTTGAAAATATTATTGAAAATGACGTTTCTTTAAATAATGATGCATACCATTCTAAATCAATTAAGAAGTCTTATTAGTACGTAATAAATGTGATGAGAATGGTAAATGGGTTTTACCACAACTTAGTAGAAATGCTATGTTTGGCCAAGTTCATTTGTTGTTAGGCATGAAGTTTACTTCACTCAATGTTTCTAAGAAATTTGTGAGGGAGTAGACAATATACCATTGGAGAGATAAATTGGATGAAAATGAGAAGATTACATGTAGAGTAAGATGCTAAGTTGAAGAATGTGAATGGTTGATGTATTGTGCTAGGAGTGAAGCAACCAAAGGTTAAAGGAACCAAACTTGTAATTATATGATAACTAGACTAGAATTATATAAAGATATTAAGTTACATGAATATCACTTGAATGAGACAAATGTTTTCTGTGAACTTTTTAGTTTTGAGCTTACTTGCTTTATTCAACAATGGGTACAAGTAAATTAGACATGAAATTACCTAGTGTACTCACGAATATGATGTATATCCAAAAAGTAATTATGATATACAACATTAACATATGTCGCACTCTTACCCACAAATATTATTGTGTCGATCAAGTTTTAAAAAATATGTCGTGATGGCATATAATATATAATACTATTTGAGTGAAACATCATCAGGATGAGTAATATCACAATTCAAATGGATGATGTATTTCTTCTCCAGCCATATAAATCATGCATAGCATCTTCATGGCTAAGTAATCTCGGTTTGGAGGTTATTATGGTCAAATGGATGATGTATTTCTTCTCCAGCCATATAAATCATGCATAGCATCTTCATGGCTAAGTAATCTCGGTTTGGAGGTTACTAGGTGTTCAACCATTAAGTCTAATGCTTAAAATCACTGAATCATAAAATGACTTAGTAGTCATCTTATGATAGGCATATGGAGTAGACAATAAACATCGTCCAAGGTAAGGATCATATCACCAAAGGGTTTATAAAGGAGTTAATCACTACAACATTTTGAATATACAGCAACACAAAAAAACCGTTGCAAAATCTAAAAAAACCGTTGCCTTTATCTATGAGAACGGTTTTCAGGGCGTTCTAAACCAAGGCGTTGTTTTAGCCTTTAGGAACGGTTTATTAGTCAACGACAACGCCTTATTCAGAGCCGTTGCTGTAATTTTATAAAGAGAACGGTTTGGTACAGCAACGGCTGGAGGCCGTTTTCAAATTTAAACCGTTGCAATTGTTGTTTATTTGAATACGACTATTTTATGGAATATAGCTACGGTTCTTAGCCGTAGCCTATTCTAAACCGTTCTAATAGAGTCTTAAGTTCATTTTTTCTTCATAGGTTATAGCAACACCTTCTTTACTACAGACACACTTTGTAACTGTTGCAAAAGAAATTATTTTATTTTATAAACCAAATAAACTTATTTATTTTTTAATAAAATAAATTTTTATTTTATTTTATAAACCTGATAATAACCTCATTCACAATTTTTTTTATATAATAATATTCAAATACAAAACATCTTTAAATTGAAAATGATCCAACAAAACATTTAAAAAAAAAAACATCTTTAATTTTTTTATAAACCTGATCTTGCATATCGTAATGTCAACAAAACATCTTCAAATTACATATCATAATGTCAACAAAACATCTTCAAATTACATATCATCCCAATATCAATCATCATTCATAGTCAAAATAACATCTTTAATCTATAAAATTAAACTTAAACATCTACATCTACGTTTCTTCATCTTCAAATTCAAAATCTTCATTGATATTATCATTCATGACCTGCAAAATAAAAATAATATTAATAAAATAAGATTATTATTTGAATGATCAAAAATAAAATAATCCACTCCAAGTAAATAATCCACATATATAAAATCCCTTAAAACATAGGAATGTAACAAATTTTACTTGATCATTAGTTGGAGCATGTGTTGATGTAGAAGAACGTAAGACACTGTTAGCATCAGTTGCAGGAGTTGATATCAAAGCTGCCAAAGCCTCTATATTCAACTCGGAGGTATTTTGATTCAAAACAGTCTTAAGAAGAACCTGAATTTTCCTATCAGTTTCTTCTTTATCTTGACGATGTTTTTCTTCCATATCTTGTAACTTGTCATTAAATTGTCTAATTTCAGCAGCATGCTCTCTTTTAATTTTTGCAATTTCTTCGTTTCTTTTCAAGAGAGTCGGTGTTGTGGTTCTTCCGTGGCAACGCAATCTCCCAGGTTTTTGTTTGCCAAATACATTTTCAAAAGCTTCTGAAGAAGGTTTTCCATGATTTTCAATCAAGTCTTGAAGTTTTATCTAACATACATAATATAGTAGTAGTAAATAAGAGGCAAGGGACAATTGTTATTTGAACATTACTCATAATATACAAGTCTGATCCACTCCTAATAGAAATAACACTAACAATAATAACTTACAATTGCATGGTTGGTTTCTTGATCCAACTCCTTTCCTTTCCTACTTTGTCGAGTAGCAATGAACATTTCAGCTTGAGTCGGAGGTTCTTTATCTTCATTATTTTCACGCTAAACCAAGTAAAACAATAGTATGAGATTATTAATAAAATAACACAATTTAATATTCAATTAAAATATAATTTAAAAAAGAATACCATTTTTTCTCTTATAACAGCAAAACCTTTATTCCCCATTCGATGTCTCCATTTCAGTTGAGCTACATTTTCGGCATTTTGATGACTGACTTCCTACAGACACACACATATCCAACACTTAGAATTCATACATACACATTTACAATATATATAAACCAACCATCCAATTTCATTTTCCTAACTCTTTTCCAATTTCTAACATATAACAGTACTTATTAATATGTGAATTCATTCATAACAATACTTAATTACTAAGTTATCCATACATACACATTTGCAATATATGTACTTAATTACTTAATTACTAATATATAACAGAACTTTATAAGAGTACTATATTACTGACTTATATTACTAACTTATTAATATTACTAATATATAACATATATAACAGTACTTATATTTTCAATTTCTAACTAACAGTACTAATATTACTAACTATGTTACTAATATAACAGCATACTAACAGCATACTAACAGCATACTTATATAACAGCATACTAACAGCATACTTATAAAGCATACTAACAGCACTAACAGCATACTTATAAAGCATACTTATATAACAGCATACTAACAGCATACTAATATTACTAACTATGTTACTAACTAACAGCATACTAACAGCATACTTATAAAGCATACTAACAGCACTAACAGCATACTAACAGCATACTAACAGCACTTATAAAGCATACTAACAACACTAACTTACTAACTAACAGCACTAACAGTACTAACAGCATACTAACAGCATACTAACAGCATACTTACTAACTTATTAACAGCATAATAGTACTAACAGCATAACAGTCCTACATACTTACTAGAGTTTTGTCATCTCTCCAATACTCCAATAACTTTCTAAAATCTTCTTCTGGTACCTCTTGTGGACGATTTTTTAGCTGCTCGCGCAAGGTTTTATACTTGCTAAAATGCTTCCTTTTAAGCGAGCATTTGTATCGTCTCCAAGCATCATTTGTAATAGCAAATACAGCCTTCTTTCCTTCCTTTGGGATATTGTATTTTTCCTGCAAAAATATATATTTAGAATATTATATACATTAAAGTATGTTAAAAAAACACAAAATCAAATAAAAAACTAATTACATTTACATAATCCCACACGGGATCCAAATTGTGTTCCTCCCAATGCTTGACCAAATCAATCCAACTAGTGAAAGTGAGAGGACATAAATCTGAACTTCTTCCTAGTGTCCCCAAAAAACTACTGAGTTCAGACACTGTCTTTTCATCTGGCCCAATTGGTTGTCCTTCTTCATTCAAGGTGATCTCTTGTCTATCTTTGAATTGTCGTCCATGAATTTTTCGACATAACGTCTTTCCCCGCTTTTTTGTTAATCTCGAGGATGAAGTACCTAAGGTATTACCTTCAGCTTTGTTTACATCTGTTCCCTCAACTTCCTTAACATTATGGATGCTATCATTCTCCATATATTCTTCCATTTCATTTTCTTCTGTATCTTCATCGTCGAATTCCTCAACTCCAACTTTTTCCTTATTTTTATCGAGACATTCAGTAAGGGGCATGGTTGGACACTTTAGAAGACTTTTTTTCTTCTCAAAGGGTTGTTGAGACTTGTTCATAGTATTGTTAAGGCTTTGCAAAATCTGAATGTAAAAGAATAATTAGCTTCATATCAACCAATAATAATTAAAAATTCATTTAAGAAATCAATACATTACTATAAGAGGTTGTCCCCATTATTAGAATTAGAAAGTACTATAAATTACCTTTTTGGTTTGATCACTGGTGTTCTTTGAGACTTGTGATTCTATTGAACCTTTAACTTGTTGATCCACCATTGAATTCAATTTCTTTTTAGTATTATTATTCAGAGCAAGCACTTTTCTTGGCTCAGTAATTTCCTTTGTAGCCTCTACTTCCATTTGCCTCTTATTACTATTGAGAACATGCACTTTGCTCGGCTGGGCAACTTTATTAGAAATTTCTACTTCCGATTGGCTTCTAATGTTACTATTCGGTACAAACACTTTGCTTGGCTCAACCATTTTCTTAGAGACTTCTACTTTCAATTTCTTTCGATGGTCCAGCTTTTGAATATTTCCAACATTGGTGTTTATAGGATTGCTTCCTTGATTTGTTGGGTTGACTTTTAAAGCCTTTTCATTTTCAACCTTGATTTTCATCTTCCTCTTTAAATCCGTGCTAGACTTAGCTTGGAAATCAAACACAAAATCGTTTCGGTTCTTCATTTTCCTGCAACAGAAAGTAAAAACAATTACATTTACATCGTTGTGAGATATGATTCATGGGCTCCAAACATTAACAATATGATATAAAAGATCAGTGAATACAGTGATACTGAACAATAAATACTGCTGCTGCTAATTAGTGCTTTGAGTAAATACAATTACTGCTGCTGCTAAATACTGTTGCTGCTAAATACTGCTGCTGCTAAATACTGCTGCTGCTAAATAATTACTGCAGCTGCTAATTACTGTTGCTGGTTTGACATTATAAATTCATACATGACATTATAAATTCATAGTGTGGGACATACAACACCGTTGAGGCTTACATTTACATCGTTTTCTTCTTGTACAACATCTCTAAATCTTTCATGCAATAGTCCATCAATATCGTCAATTTGATCCTCTTCTTCATTCATATGATTATCATTAAGACCATCGAGTTTCAGTTTCTTCTCGCCATGTCGAACCCAAACGTCATATCCCTTTTGAAATCCAAATGCAATTAAATGATTTTTCACTTCATTCCTTGTAAACCAATTACTATTGTAACAATTAGCACAAGGACACAAAATCTCTTTCCCGCGGGGCTTTCCTTTCGTGTATGCATAATCTAGAAAAGAATCAAGACCATTTTGGTACTCTTTACTCGCGGGGTTTTTCTTTGTCCATTCCTTGTCCATCAGGTTTACGGGGATACTACCATTTATGGAAAAAAATGTATAAGCAAAACAAGGAGAAAATAAACACAGTAGAGCAACCCAAAGTGTTCAATTTGTCAAAATTGTTTCATTTTGTCATATAAAAACTAGCCTACCAAAGGGTTCCTGCTGCCAATAACTACAACTTTACTATTAACACAGAACATGCTCATCTAGTGCAACAAGTAACATAAACTAGGAATTCACATCAAATTCAGAAATATCAGAAAAACAGTCCAACAAATTTTATAGATGGATGTCGATACAAACCTGATATAATGTCAGATGGGCATAAGTAGTTGTAACTTCAGTCTGTAGGGTCTGAACTTCTCCTGATACTTCAGATCTCCGGTACTTAAGATAGAACAATGAATTCTAGTTGTTCTGTGACATAATCAGCCAAAATAATCTCAGAACAAAGACAAGACACACAACATTTGCATAAAAACTTGCACTTTGCACAACCTTAACAGAACCAATACTCAAACTTTACATTAAAAGTTAGAAATTAATAATGTATTACATACTGGGATTAATAATGTTAACATAAATTAATAATGTATTAGAAATTAATGAAAGAACCAATACTCACTGGGAATTAATAATATTGGGAATTAACTACATACTGGGAATTAATAATACTGGGAATTAACTACAACCAATTTTTGTTACTTATGTTGAAGACTATTGATTGTGGAGATAAAATTTTAAGGGTGAACATACTACCTGCAGAAGCAGATTCATGAGTTGTTATTTGTACATCAAGATTATGTTTCTAACGATTATCAAAATTCAATATGTGAAACTCACCTTATACAAGTGTTCAATTTTTTTATTTGGCAAGATTGTCATAACCCTCTTCCAGCTAAGTATCCTACAAGATTGAAATACATTATTTCTAATAAGTTAAATATCTCTAAAATTGGCCAGTAACATGAGGAATCAAATTTATAATGTGGACATGATGATGATGATGATGATGATGCAACGACGCAACCATTATTGTTGAATTATACATCTGAAATTACGCTATATTATTTGAAAATTGAGGTTCAAATTATTCAATAAAGGAATAATCAACTAGTTAATTTCCCAACAATTGTTTTGGCACGATATTAGGATTTTAGTTAGGAAATTGGGTGATCATAATATTACAGGAAATTGGCACGATATTAGAATTAGCTAACCATTATAAAGCAACGAAATAAGAAGCAATTACGTGATTATAATACACATATTATATTACAGGGAAATATATAATGGAAAGTGTAGAAGCAAACAACATGGCAGTGACATTGGCTTTCATTGATGATGCTAATAAGCTTTCAAGAGAAGAAGACAACAGTGACAGACTTGATATCACTTAGTGCATTGGTGAAACAGATACTGATTTGGATGCAATTATTTCTCGCTATGCACACACTCTAAACAGATACTGACTTGTGCTTCATTTTTCTATATCATTACTATCTACCAGTTCAATATTAATTAGCATAACTTATTAATATGTTAGCTAATTCCACCAGTTCAATAATACTAACAGTACTTATTAATTAGCATAATTTATTAATGTGTTAGCTAATTCCACCAGTTCAATACTATCTACCAGTTCCTAACTCTTTTCCAATTTCTAACAGTTCTAACAATTAGCAACTAGATTTACTAACAACATAACAGTATAATAGCATAACAGTTCTACTATAAATCAAACCAAAACTTATACCAATAAGTTTCACCAATGCATCCATAACAGTATGCTTAATGGAAATGTTGTTTGCTAATCAAACTAAGGGTGCTGCCAATCAAGATCCAAGTATATGGGGGAAATTTAAAAATGAAAAAGAAAGGAAAGAAAGAAATTAATAATCATAATTCTAGTCAGATTTCAACTCTAACAGTGTCTCTTTATATCTTGTGGTGATATCATTGCTGACCAATAGTAAAATCTATAGCACACAAAAGACAAATACCTTTAAAGGGAAATTTATGAAAAGTCATTATCACCTAAAACAAACAGTTCATAATACACTGAACATGATACATAGCTGAACTATAATTAATTATCACCAACCACAAAGAATAGTTACACTAAAATGTCAAGAACCTTCAAAGAACCTTTTTCTAACTACTAAAGTTTTGAATTATTTATCATTATAGTTTTGAAATGAACCATACTTTTTGTTCTACTACAAATCAAACCAAAACTTATACCAATAAGTTTCACCAATGCATCCAACCCTTCATGATAATTAAAGTAAGCATAAAATATTCTCTCTTTAATTAACTTCCCCTGTGGAAACCAATTCCACCTGTTTCCAACTACAATATATAAAGCCAATATTATGGTTATGGTTAAGCCTAGGCAATATCATTCTCCTTTGTTAAACTTTTCAATTAAAGTGGCAAATTAAGGTGTACAGCAGTAGATAATTTTTGGTTTTTTCTGCATTATATTGATAGTTTGCCTTAAATCAAGGAAATTTTCCAATAGCATCACAAATATTGAGATGGTGTAGGACTCATACAGTACAAGGTTCAGATTGGAATAACAAGGTTTATTGAAAGAACAAATATGAAAAGAAGAAGAGAATAGAGACTATCTCTCCCCAAGGGTATCTATCCCCTTTCCACTTCCGCTCTTGCTCGGTTCTCTCTAAAATACTGTTTCATCAATGCCTCCTTTGACCTTTCTACTGTATTCCATTGTTGAAGATATAGGGTTTTAGATAGTAAGCATATTTTTGACATCATGTCAATGTAATTTTATTTATTCTTGTATATTTCTTTTCATTCCTTCATGCTTATACCTAAAGGACTAAACCCTATAACAATAACAGTTCATACAATGGAGCTTCATGTTGCAAATGAAATGCACATAGCTGGCCCAGAAAAATGTTATCAAACCACAAGTATAATATTCATATTTCAATAGGATCAAAAGGCTAAAGAACCATCTGTTGCTGAATATATATCAGCACTAGCAGTTGGAAACAATGCACTATTAATGGTTGTTGCTTGTGCTGCTGCAACTGATTCAACTACACTTGCACTAATTGCCGATGCTAATCAAACTAATGGAAATGTTGTTTGCTAATCAAACCAAGGGTGCTGCTAATCAAACTAAGGGTGTTGCTAATCAAGTTGAGTTCATGATTGGAAAAGAAGCACAAGAATTATTGATATTACACAAAGCTGATTTTGTGGTAATTGATTGTAATCTTGTGAACCATGAGGAGCGTTTCAATCATAAAACCACACACACAAAATTTCTAACACACAACAGCAGCGTAGTACAAACTAGAAAGCCTCACTGAAAATTCATACAAAATTCACACGCATATAGGCAGAGTATATACACACATCAAAATGACATTCACACTGAAAATCACAAGCAGAATTCATATGCAGAAAAAATCACAAAGATAATCAAATTATTACCTTTTTACCGGGATGAACCGAAAACTCGCACACCGCCGAAAACTCGCACACCGCCGAAAACTCGCACACTATTACGTTTGAAAATTGAAACCTATGAAAACAAAACCGTTAGATTTGTCGGCAGAGAAAAGAGAAAGTTGAAGGAGAAGATTTACACACACAAAAGTTGAATGAGAGTCTAGCTACAACGAAGAAGAAGGAGAAACCTAGCTACAACGAAGAAGAAGAACGCAGAAACCTAGCTACAACGAAGAAGAAGGAGAAACCTAGCTACAATGAAGAAGAAGGACGCCGAAACCCAGCTACAACGAAGAAAAGAAGGACGCCGAAACCCAGCTACAACGAAGAAGAATGAGAAGCTTTTGTGTTGAATAGGGTTGGGTTTGGGAGCACGATGAAGAAAGGATAGGGGTTAGGGTTAGAATCAATTTGGGATGAATGTCTCTTTTCTCTCTCTGCGTTAGAATTAATTTGGGAGGGAACTGAAAATTTTACATTGGTTTGGGAGGGACAATGAAAACTATACACATATGAGAACGGTTTAGTAAATAATATTTTATTAAATTAATTAAAAATTATATAAGAACGGCTCTAGCCGTTGCGAATAGGAGCCGTTCTCATTGTCCTCTACAAGAACGGGTTTGAGCCGTTGTATAAAGTTTACAAAAAATTATATAAGCTACCGCAACAAATTATATAATTAGTTGCCTATTAGTCTCTACGAGAACAATTTTTTTACTTTCTGAAAATTAGGCGTTGCTATAGAGTAAAAATGTTGTAGTGAATAAGTCATAATGAAATAAAATAAAAATAAAATTACCTTTTTGTGTGAGGTGCAATATGGTCCTGAAAGAAATGAAAAAA